CAAATAGTTGATATTTTAGTTGTGATAGTTATTGTTGTGCACTTTAAAAAGAAATATTTCATGTTCATAAATAAATTCCGATTGTTCTTTTAAAATATTCAGAGATTTATACAAACTTACAAAGGCATAAATTCATCTATTTAGTAAAAATGCTCGAAACATACATAAATGAGTTCATACATTTGAAAATAACCGAAACCGAAGCTAGGTTTTTCTGTTCCCAAAAAACCGGAACCGGAACCGAGATCAAATTTTTGGAAATGCACAGCTCTGTTGGTGTCTGATGGTCCTTGCCTGCTTTTTCAGTCTTGCAAACAACGTTTACAGTTTACTGAATGCACCCTAACCAGAGAGTACTTTTCCTTGATTATACAACCTTGTTTTTAGTGATTGATATCTTCGGTGCTTTAGAGCCCTTTATTTTGTTATTGTTGACATGATTATATATTAAACTTTTACAATGTCACCAATAACTAACATCAGGCTCTTTTTGACCAAGGTCTCTGCTCGTGATGCATATATATACCATAGCTAGGAAATTCGAAGTACATGTGCGTGTTGACTGTTGATGCGTCTGCGCTTCATTTCATAATCTTGTAAAGCCAGTAAAGGTCTTAGAAATTACACCTAACGGTCTTTTATACAATGAGAAATACGGAGATGATTTAAAAGTATGGACAGTAGCAAGCAAAAACGCAAACGGAAGAGAGAGAAACTGACGTGTTTAGTTTGCAATCGGTCGTTTGATGACGAATGGATGTGCTTTTTCGATTTTTTTCGGAACTATTTCGCCTATTTTAAAAATAAATTAAAATAAATTATCTTACTACTTGGAGTTAATCGTTGTACATCACTTAAAAGTGAATACGGTTTGCTTTGACCACGCCCTAACCGCTCGCTAGCCACGCCCTTTTGTCGGCAAAAAGTTCTCTTGCACCCCCCGAAAAGGATAGTAGGAAATTCGCCCCCCTTTAGAAACTTCACCTTTTCTTTAGGATTTTCGTCCTCCGTTCAAAATTTCGCCCTTCCTAACAGTTACATGGGATAATTATTACATGGCTTTAATCATTTGAAATCAGTAACAATTCAAAATTGTTAAGACAGAGCTTGAAATAACAACCGATCACCGATAAATGATCGGCAAGGAATTGCTTATGATCGGCGGAAAAGCAGGGTTTTGGTTTCCAACCTGAAAAAAGCAGGGAAAGTTACGACTGCCGATCACCATGATCGGGAATTTTGGGAACGTTATTTCAAGCCCTGCATGTAAGAATACAAATTTACAATTACATGTATCGAAATGGCTTTACACAGTTACAGTAGATGAATACTCAATAGGACTTATGACGCTTCACAGCACACCGTGCATATTTTGCATTTTCAGTGTTAATCCTTAAACTCATTGTTAAAAAGTAATCACCGTGGTGGTTATTGAAATTATTGGTATTGTTTTGCATCCACGTTTTGTCGTTATCGGAAAATGTATGGTTTGTCACTATTTTTTACTTGCATTATTTCAATATAGTTTGTAAATCTCAGAAGCGAAGGGCAGAACTTGCCAATAGGCAATAATCCAATAATATACGTTTCAAAAAAGACAAGAAAGCTTTTAGTTTTGCAGAGTTACATTCCCAAATGTTTAAGGCATGCACTAATAAAATCAAAGTATCAGTGAAATTATTTGAATAAACCACACCACATATATAATGCAATTTTCTTTGCGAAGTGAAGAATCAAGATTACATCACTGACACGGAAAGTTGACGATTCAACGGACAATAGTCAATACGCTTCCCAACACATTCCATAGATTTTTTACTAATCCTATAGTTTATTGTTAGCAAGTGATTACTGTGGCGGCTATTGTTAACACTCATATTGATAAAATTTGCAAGCGATTGTTTTTATAATATGTTATGTGAATGTAAACTGCCAGAAGAATACGACAACACGATTTTATGCGATCTCTGTGATGGTTCCACTTTACAGTAGATGTGTAGAATATGACACTAGTCTAAGTACCTCAAATGAGTGGTTATGCAGACTGTGCACACCACCAGCTGCTGAGAAGCCTAAAATGTGTATGTGATTTTGTCTCCTTGTAATAAATAAATAAATCACACAATAAATCTTTTCAACTTGCAATCGTTTTGTTTTTAGATCAAAAATTCAAAATTTATATGGGGGGGCGAAATTCCTAAAGGGGGGCGATATTCCTAGGAGATTCGCCCCGGGGGGGCGAATATCCTAGGAATATCGCCCCCCTTTTGAGAGGGGGGCGAATCTCCTGGGGGGGGCGAATCTCCTGTGACACCGGCATTGATGAAACTTCTTAAAATTGTAATTTGACAATTATGGTTAGGATATATAGCAGTTGGAAATAGATAATACCCTTTGATTTTCTTTATCATTGGCCATGTTCGTGTTGGACGACGTCTTAAACATCTGAGATGATATAAACGTCTGAGACCACTTACTGTAGTTGTCCGATATAAATTCGGAAAATTGGACGGACGAATAAAAATTAACATATTAAATTCTAACTTAAACTGAAGTGCGTCCAATCATAGTTAATATATAGTCCAATTCATCTAGTATAAATACAAGATGACTAAACTTGGACACACTTAGCAAATAAATACTGTAAATGGTTGTCAAGTTGAAATATTTTATATTTTTGTGGTTTCATTATTAGTGTTATGGTTTAGAAAATTTCGTTCTCTTTTTGAAAGCCTTTGAATGATAGCTGAATAACTGTGTAACAAAGACATAATAATAATTTTTCGACCATGAAAGAATCGTTAGGCTATAAATTCAGCTATATATTGCATGGAATGCAAGAATGTTTAAAGAACTAAGATTTGAGGACCAAAAGGTGGCTATATGTTGGCAACCTTAGGCCTGTTTTATACGTCGAATTTCGGTCGCGTCGAATGCAATTCAAACAATAGATGATGAAGCTTAATGAGGTTTATCATCTCATTATCTTGCATTCGACGCGAAAAGTTACAACTGTTACACGTGAAACTAAATGTGAAAAGAAGAGGGAAGAGAATTTTACGAGATACATAAAAATGTGCAGAAAAAAGAAAATATAATAATTTTTGCTAAGTTTCTCGAGATACGAGTGTAACTGCTTGAGCATATAACATCTTTACTTGCGAGGATGCAAGAACCAGATCATTGAAGTCCTGCAAATTACTGTCGGACATCGGACAATGTCCGACTAAATTTGGCAAATGTCCGAGCAAAAGTAATTTTGATCAGACATTGGTCCGATCACAAAAAAAATTGTCACATACATTTTTTTGCTGTGACAAAATCCGATTGCAAATTCACTCAATTTGCATTTTGCAATAAGGCATTCTAGCATTTTACTTAACGTTGCATCGGAATGGCTATACAAACTTGTCTCGTGACTTATATATATCTTGTGACGTATATATGTCCGACCAAATTTAGTGATGTTGGTTTTTGTCCGACCAAATTCAAGTTATGTCCGACCAAAATTAAAAGTGATCGGACAAATGTCCTGTCAAGTCAAATATTTATTTGCAGCCCTGATTTGTCTTTGCTCACTTCGAGGAAATACGGTACATCGCATTGTATACAGTAGACAAACTACTTATACAAAAGATCTTCAAGAGAAAACCTCAGCAGTCGGTTGCTCTTGTCTTATCTCTGCTGTGAACTATAATCTACTGGCATACTTTCTCATAGCAAATTTATTCACAGGGTTTGTAAATTTAGCTTAATAATGATGCGTAGCTTATATTGTTCTAATTGCCGTATAGTTGCGCCTTTTCTATTTGTCAATGTTCTGTTGCATGCGAGTCGTTTCCTAGGGAATGATTCATACTTCGACATTGCTGATGTTGTATTGCTGCTTTTACAACCGGAAATATGCTACAACCGGAAATAATTTTAATTGGCTGATATTCTGGGGGCGGAAAGCCCGTAGAGGCGAATTGTGTCAGGCTCTCTTCAATACCGAGAGCCTGATACTCAGGTTATCCAAGTCATTTTGTGACTTGTCTTTGAAGTCCCAAGTCATTCTCTCTGACCAAGTCGCAAGTCATTCTGTACAGTTCGTATTACCATGAGCTGGGGAGTCACCCATGATAATTATATGTTAATATACTACCTCACCTGTCATACTGCAATATGTATATCAATCTGGCTAGTGATCTCCTCTGGAGTTTTTTCTTCACGAATATTATGTTTTTCATGGAATATAACTATGTACTGTACATTGCTTAATACCCTGACTTGAATTGGACTTGCAAGAAATGACTTGTTACCAACGCAAGTCAAACGTAAAGTACTAAATCTAAAGAATCTATCTGATGAAAATTGACTCTTCTACTCGCACTGGAAATTCATCTACATGCAAATTGACTAATGCACCATGTTGGTGGTTTTACTTTAGCTTTGATTTTCTCGGTTTGGACAACGTTCATTTTCAAAACTACCTCACCAAAGGACCCACAAGATGCCTCATTTTTGAGCTATTCAACCCTTAAAGTGGCAATGCACCCTACTTTATTATTTTACTTCCTAATGCCAGGCAATTTTTCTTGTCAACGAGTGCTGCCACTAATGGGTTAAAACACTCGACTGTCGCCATTTTATATCTGATATGAAAGCACTCCTGATCATGTTTTAAATAGTACTTATTTTGTTCTATATATGTTTTACCTGATTCATACATGTATTGCACAACAGAAAAATCACATCTGTGAAGAACAGAAACTTGTTTAGTATTCCAATGGATACTGAGCTTGAGATGTGCAGTATCCAAACTTAAATCTGCTATCCTTTGGATATCAGGATACTGCAAATTTCAAGCTACTTCAACAAATTAATATATTGACTGTGTCAAATCTTACAGTAAACTGTACATTATTTCCAACTGTACATTGAATGTACCATTAACAAATGCAAACATCTTTGATTCTCAATACCATAAAATACTTCACAACTTAATTTCTTGTATGTACCTTTAGGATTTAAGAAGTGGATCACATTGCCATCATCTTTTATCATGTTAACCTAAATAATATCAAAATTTCAACAATGCTATAAACTAAAAAGTAACAATCGAATTTTCTTTTAAGTACTATGCTTTGTAAAAAAAAGTAAATATTGTATACATATTTACAAATGTAGAATAGGGTCCAAAAAACTATAAGTGTTCTGTGCTGAATTTATTTCTGTATAGTAGATTCCATAGATATTTCTCATTTTGTATTGTCTTCCTGACATTTTTCTTCATTGCATCCTCATCTCCTTTCAAGAGATAGCTGATTAATTGGAAAATAATTGTATATGTCTCATCTCCACTCCCACTGGCTTCACCAACAAACATATTATTCTTGTGTCCTGCAAAATCTGCTGTGCACCCTCAACTTACCCAGGCTGGTCAAAAGCAATTACCTCTTCAATACCAGGGATTGTGTTAACTGCAAGCTTTTTCAAAGAAGTTTGTAATCTTTTGTCATCTGTAGTTGCTGTTTTATGTACAACCTTCTTTTTTCTACGAGGAGTACCCTATAAATGTGATTTCTATACTTACATTTTTATACTGGAATTTATATA